AAATAAAATTCATCAGGATAGAATAAAAAAATTCAGAATGACTGATTTGATTTGAGATACATAAATTCGCCTCATTTTCCCAAATTTCTCTTTAATATTTTTCGCTGGGTACTTTCCTCTCGTATTTAGTCTGAATCGCGGGCGAAGCATCTTGACCCCACTACCCCACTATTTAAATCCCAAAGTGACTTTGGGCTCGAGCCATAAAGTCATTACCTGCATTAGTACATCCAATCGTCATCTCAAATATTCGGAGTACGTTGCCAATTGAAAAGCACTCAAGCACATATGAAAGCGTTAATCATTTGGTTTTTGAATATACCTACAATGAACCGAAGATGTCCGATGACGAAGAGAATCAGAATGTAATTTAGCTGTCTGGATGACACTCACCGGTAATTAATAGTGGAATACCTGGTGAAGTGGTTTGAGAACAAGGCGATACCCATCGCATCTTGGTTGGACAATTTTTGCTCATGGCACCACAGGCCCCGCTGTATCACCTTAATTTATAGCTACAACCCAAGAAAATCCCATTCCTCCCCGCTAAGTTTCAAGATGAAAATTGGAAATAGTTCGGTGTAAAGCGCATTGTGTGATAATGAATCACCATCACGTCGCAACTAGAATAGAAATTAACGAGCTAGAGTAACCCATTCTCCGTGTTACCATTTCGAATGAGATCGCTAGACAATTAATGTTTTGAGCGATTTCCACTCAAGTATTACTCAACATTCGACAAATCCATTACCTCCGATATTTTCGGTGCATGCAACAGAGTCCAGAAAATTTTTACCATCCGTTACCCATTCGTAATCATCTAAAAATGCGTCTTTTCAAATGTTTTGAAATAAAAAAAAATGGAAATCATTGAAAATCGGGATTTATCACTATAATATTTATTGTGCAACGATCCGGTGACGTTGAAACGTCAAGATATAAAAAAGAAAAATGAAAAATCATGCAATAATAAATGGTGAAAGAATCTTCAGTGTCTCAAAGTCAATAATATCTTAATAGGTTGAAGTCTCCCGTGAATTTTTCACTGGCTGCCAAATTGGCCTATATTTCACGTTTAACGATCCACGTGTACCGAGAAGACCCCAGAAGTGATATAATTAAGGTCTCCGTGATAGTTGAGATAGGTATGAGAAGCGGGTGATCTCATTACTGCAGTACGATTGTTATAAGTCACGAAAACGTGACTTGATCGAGAGCACAACGATGGCAGTGAGCTATTGAACGGCGTACGTGTTTCATGATCCTATATACATTCGAGTGAGATCGCACATCCACGATTCACAAAAGACTTGTTATCTCTGCGTACATACAATCATATGGGTATGTACAGACTGCGTGCATGTTATGTACTGATACATACGTTGCCCTGGGTATCGTAAATTACGCAGAGTCATAATTCGCTTTACGACACTCACCCCCACGGCAAAATCATTCTATGTGCTTCATTCTCTATATTCTTTGGAGCCCTATCGTTATTATGCCCTATGCTCCTCCCGCTCGTTCTACTAGTGTATTTTGTTATTCCAACGAACCATATCCAACGTTTACGTTCGCTGTTTGCTGGAGCGGTGGGAATTTCACCTGGAAAATTTCACCCACCGCTCAGGCTAACGTGCTTATCTCAAATTTTCCAATATTTTTGCGAATTTTA